CGGATGTTTTTGGAAGAAATACGACTTCAGTCCCGGCGGGAGAAACAGCGACGTGCTTAGATATTTGAGGAAAGCTCGATTGGAGGAAGTCAACTGTCGGTAACTAGAGAATATGTGGCGAGGAAGGAGACCTCAAAGTTGAGCAATGTCAGGGATCGAAAAACTGTCGATGGCTTCAGCACAGTACGTGCTACTAGCGAGAAAGCTGATTGCAACTCGCTACGAGCTGCAGCGAACGACGGTAAAATCCGTCAACCATCGTCAGTATGCGTGCGATCGTCCTCTAAGAAGCGAGCTGAGCTTTCCAGTGGTTTCCACAAATCTCGGGTACGAGTAGCCGGCGCACTCGTCAATGAAACCCGCCTAAACAACCCACACAAGCGGTAGCGGGAAGGACAGAATTGTGGTGAAAAAGGATCTAGCACATTTGCTTTTCTAAAATGACAAAACCTTTTTTTCACTTTTGTACTGCTTTACAGCTCGCCACAATCCACAATTTCGACTTCATTCTCCGAAAGAGGGCGATTATTGCCATTGCTCACCTTCACACTTTGCATCGCATCCACGACGTCGAATCCATCGATGACCTCACCGAACACGACGTGCTTCCCATCGAGATTATTGAGACCTGCCTTCGTCGTGATGAAGAACTGCACATGGTCGGGCAACGAAGGAATTACTTTAACAATCTCGGACCACAAACCACGAATAAATTTAGTGTACCTGTGAGCCGTTTGTGTTCTTGCCAGCATTCGCCATGGACAACAGTCCCACGTCATCATGGGGCAAGAACTTTTCATCCTTAAAGTTACCCCAGAGATCACCATGTAGAGTGCCGCGGTAGATGCTCTGCCCACCCGTTCCGTCCCCGGTGGTAAAGTCTGTGCACGGCCACAGCTCAAGCGTCAGTACATTCAAGATAATAAAGTGCTATCAACGAGTTACCTCCGCCTTGGACAACAAAGTTTTTGATGATGCGGTGAAACTTGCACCCTTTGAATGTAAGAATTCCCCCCTACATACAGAGCATTACGGTTGGCACCACCAATCACATAAACTGCAGCAGTTATAACTTACCTTTTCGCCTGTGCATAGGCAGCGAAAGCTTTCCGCAGCGAGCGGAATTTCGTCCTTGAGCAGACGCATGACGATCCTGCCTGCTGGAGCTCCAGCGATTGAGATGTCCATGTAGACAGTGGGGTCAGTCGTCTTCGTGATGAACTTCTTCTTGCGTTCTTTCAAGCTAGTGACGGGCACATA